GAAGGGGGGGGAAAGAAGGGGAAAGGGGCCGTGTGGTGGACACAAACACTGAACACTGCTGTGGACTACAAAATTAGAGCTCAGACAGACTCACAGGGACTGGGTGTAAAGTTCTGCAACCCTAAATATCTGTGGGAAGGAAGAAACAAGATAGGAGAAAAAGAATTGGGCTAAAGATTAAGTCAGAAACAAGGGGGTGGGTTGTGTTTTGTTTTGTTGGTTGGTTTGTTGGTTTTTGGGGGTTTTAATCATTTCATCTTTATATCACTCCCCCTGGCATAAAAGAATCCAAAATAAGGGGTTAATAAAATGCAATAATTTATGACTTCTTCAAATAGACAGGGTCTACTTTGCCCATGTCACTAAAATGTAGATAAATGACAGATAAAAGAGAACAGGTCCAACATGGGCTTTAGCTGTTTTACTAGAATTATTTAACTTCCAATATTTTTAAACCTATGGGCAGGAATCAGATATTTGTGTTATGAGAGAAAGAAAAACAACCAACCAAAACTAAAAACCTTAACACAATTTATACTCTCAGACACTGAAAGCAGCCAGAATGCCATATTATCCTCATGATTATTTAGGATTTTTTAGTTTTAATATGTGCCTTGAATGATAAGCAACAAGAACAATGACAAAAAAAAAAAAAAAGAGAAAAGCAACACAGAAATGACTGCTGAGTTTGGAAGGGACACTTACGCCCTGTACACCTCTTCCAGTGCTCTTGTCCCACTGTCAGCAGCTCTTTAACTCCATCATCCATTGCTTTGGTGAACCTACCCACTGCATCACATTTCTGTTCTCTGTGGCATTTGGAAAAAGCAAAACCAAAAAGCAGTTTAACAGATGCATTATGCTAACTTTAAACACAATACTGAAATGTTTAGGAGTGTCAACTAGTTCTTAAAAAAAAATTAAAAAAAAAATCAGAGAAATAAATTAATTCCTTGAAATCTCTGCTTTTTCACTGAGGTCAGAATTTCCCTCTTCAGATACAGACATTTTTCATTTTATTTCCATGGATTCCAGATATTAGACTCATACTGTATGTGCAGCATTACTTACATGTATTCTACAGAAACATGGTTTTCCTCCATGGTCAACCTACAGTTATCCTAAGCTACTTGATAAGGCCAGCACATTTGGGAACTGTTCACAATTGAAGGATTAAAGATCAAAATACGCTTCCAATATAAATATATTGGAATTGTATTTATATTATATAAATAATATATAAAACAGAAGTCCATAGGACCTGCTAGTACTTGTTCTTGTCAACTCGTTTTTCACGAACTTTTTTAGGTTCAGTATTCAGCCACTGAAGTCAGAGACACCACAAGGAGCTCTACCAAGCTTGGGATGGGGTGGGGGGTTTGATATGAAAATCTCATATTCAAAAAAATTTTCAGCTCTGCATTGATGAGTACTTTTTCAAATACATGAATACGTGTGCGTGTTTACTGTTCTAGTTTTATATTAGCCTCATGACATAAAACTGATACCAAACATAACATGCGTGCAAAAAGAAACCACCTTACATTTCTACCATGTCCAAGTCAGGAGCTTCTGGCTCCATCGTAGAAAAGATCATGACTCCTACGGTTTCATCTTTTTCTGCCTTCCGCTTTCCAGTTTTCCACTCCTTAAGGAAACAAACAAACAAACAACAAACCCACAAAGTTTGGTCACCACTGTTCCTGCATCTTTAAGGGCATGCACTTAAGCAGTGAATGTAATGTTCAGGAGACAGGAGAATAGACACCCATAAATTAAAACCTTTCAAATGAAAGTTTCAGTGGGGCCAAGGTTTTTTTAAAGTTCCCCTCCCTCCTCCTTGTGCAATTTTCTTTCCGGATTCTAGGATAAACAGACTCTTCTTGTGTATTACTGAAATACAGTGTAAGAGCAATTATATTCAGCTGTCTCTGCACATGTGATAGTGCTGGTATCAGAAGCTCCTCAAGAAGATCATGAGACTATTAAGCAATTGCCATACTAAGTTCTTCGTGGGAAGCAGATAAAAAGGGTAAAAATTCCACACGGATTGCAACATCTTCTCTGTTTATATCAGTTCATAAGTTAGCTGCTAAGAACTGCTGACTAGCTAGCACAATTATACAACTCCCCACTGGCCATCCACACAGCACTTCACTAGGACTGCTACTTACTATGTTGTTAAGCCTCTACGTACAGGATCACAATAATTCTTGTTGGAAGTGGCATCAGGAGGTTTGTAGTCCACTCTGCTACTCAAAAATAATCAGCTGTGACCTTAGTTACTCAGGGCTTTACCCAGCCTAGTCCTAAAACTTCCAAGGTTCACTTACTTTTTCAGCAAAATCTGTATGTATTTAGAAGTATGACTGCTTTGAGGAGAAAGCAGCAGAGTTTTCCTCTTTATTTCCTCATCGGTACATACCCAAATTAGTAACAGAGCTGGAGTTCAGTCATGAAGAAACCAGTTTTTACTGAAGGGGAAGATATTGAAACCTTTTTAAAAAGCTGGGGGGTCGGGGTAGGAGCATGCCAGGCCACAGGCATAAAAAAAAGCTGGTTCTATCAGGTAAGACTGCAGCATGCTGCTATTACAACCCATTCCAGTGAAAACTCTTGGGGTCCAACAGAGACAGATCAGGGCAACAGCCAAAAGAGCCATTATATGTCCCAACTCTGCTGGAGGACACAAACTGCCCTTAAAGGACTGGCAACAAAGCTACTTTAAGGAGCCCACCTCTGTTGGGACAGCACTTGGCATTCCACACAGGCAACTTTGTGCATTGTTTTGAACCATCAGCTAAGTTAGTAAAGCCAGCTGAGTGTCCAGCCCATCACTTCTGCCCTCAGTGGGGCAGGCAAATGAGAAGGCAACAAAGCTGAACTCTCCCTTTGAGGAGAGATGGGGGGCAGAGATGGGGAGCAGCAATTCCTCAATCTCAGTCTGTGTTGCAACTTCATTTCCTACCTTCTCATCTCGGAAATTGAGGAATTGCTGGAAAACTTCACTTTCTGAGACAACAGGATGGCGACACATCCTCGTCATCCAAGCTTGCAGTCTCTCCATACGCATTTTGATAAATTCTTCTTCAAAACGACCTGTGATACATTGAGGAATAGTTGTTACATTTCATTTCTACTCTGATACCTCAGCTTTTCCAAGAAAGGAAAAAAAAATATTAAACAGAATCTGGAATTATTAACCGTTTAATGACTCAGAACTTACAAGAAAGAAACATTACACTGACAACTCAGAACTTTAAATTACAGTATATAGGTTATCGACGAAGAGTACTCCTCCTTTTAAAAGCAGCCAGGAAATACTAAATAAACTTAATATCCACTGTCAATTCAAATAATTTTTTTGGGAAAAAAAAAAAAGAAGATTAATGAACTTTAAGAAGGAAAAATTAGGTATTCAGATGAAGAGAGAAGCTAGGCACAGGCTTGGAATGCAGATGTTTTTCTGATCCAGCCTAGTAAATCCTAGGTCAATGTAACACTCAAAAGTTTTGGGGAAAAAAGGAACTACTTACTTCCCAAGCTGTCATGTCCTAGCTAACAAAGCATTTGAAACTGGACTGCTCAGATATGAACAGCAGATTTAAAAAAGCAGTACCTCCCAAAAACATATTTCTATTTAACTAAATGAATGTGTTGGGACACCACCACCCCCACCCCCCTCAAAAAAAAAAAACAAACAAAAAAACCCAGTAAATCATATGTATAAACTGGTTAAATACATACATGTAAGACTAATTGGGGTTTTTTGGTAGTTAAGAGCTTTTTAATACAAACTATTTAAAAAGTAACTCTCTCTTTTTAAACCAGTAGTGCATCATCATTGTGTATTTAAGCACCTTTTAGTTTTAGCACAGACTTTGAGAATCTTTTCCAATTAAAAAAAAAAAAAACCACCACACAGCACCAGACTTGCAAAGCATGCATTTGAAAGGCGTAAGATTCCTCCAGCACCCCTAATTTCCACAGCAGGGCACACAAACCTTGAACGTGCGTACTCTTCCAATATAGTTCCACTGTATAGTTACTATGGCAGCAGCTCCATATGGTTGAGGCTTTTATGGTTTTTGTTGTTGGTTGGGTTTTTTTTTTTAATTTCAAATACGGAAAGTAGCAAGAGAAGCAGGTAAAGAACACAACAGGTTGTAAATAAAGTTTGGGTATGTGTATATTTGCTGCTGGGTGCGGGGTGGGGAATAAAATCAAGTGCTGTGGAAGTGACATTATAGAACCTGCAGTAATAACTTGTTCTACCCTTACTCTACACTGAAATCTCTGCAGCATAAGGAATGTATGACAACAGGAACAGTAAAATTTGGAAGTTACATGCTGGTCATTAGGCACGTCCTCACCAGCAAAATCATGATCCTGAGCTAAGTGAGACTATCTGTAAAGAGTCTTGCTGTGCCAAGTCTAATGGACAGAAACATTTCTCTAGACAGTCTTTGGAAAAAAACTCCTAAACACAATGAAAAATAAGCACTTTTTTTCCCCAGAGTTTCCCACAATGTTTCAAAAAAGAGAACAAGCAGTATGCCTTTTTCTTTTCTTCCCCCTATAACCTCTCCCATAGACTCCGGAAGACTGAAAACCACAAGCAAGGTTTAGCTGTGATGCCAAACTCTTGAGTCTTTTAAAATACAGTTACAATAAAATGTAGACATCCCATCAGGTCTTCTGGTTTCCTTTTAGTCCACATGCACATGTTTAAGCAAAAATACTGGCGAATTCTAACTATAAGAGTAAGCGGAGAGGAGGGGAGGAAGTTGCTTCCTCACTTTTCAGTTTCCTCGGCATTTATCCCAGCATCCGCATCAATGCTTAGCTTTCTTCAACACAGCAGAGCTACCGCATTTTCAGTGATGCTCACAGCCACATGGCTGGCGACATGCCGGCTTTTGGCTGTCTGTCTGTCTTAAAGGCTGTATAAAAATCTTACCAGAAAACACACAAGTGGAAATAGGCAAAAGTAATGCATTTCCCTCATAGTCAGGTGCCTGTTCTTTTCTTCACATGCACTCCAGCACACCCTTGTAAGAAGGAAGCCAGACACTACTGGAAATGCAGAGGGGTTGCCCTATTCAGTCACAATGACTGAACTCATTGGCAATCTCACTTTTCTTGAAGTCAAAACAAAAGACTTCCAAAGGCTTCAGAGAGTTTGGTCAAGCTGAACCGATATCAAACCACAGCAGAATGTTATACAAATGAAAGATGCTTTCTAAATCAGGTGTGAAATCAAGCAACAGGAGAAACAGCTGCAACGTTTTAGTTGCGAGCAAACACACCCAGTTTGTGGGGGATGCTCCCTCTCCTCTGGGAGCGTTGTTTCCAAGCTCCTACTGTGTAACACATTTGCAACCAAATGCCAAAAACCCAAATTCACCACCAAAACCCAACAACAACTGCACCCCATCCCCACCCCCAAAACCTATTTCTCCAGCAAATATGGAACAGAAGTAGTCCTCTTCTCTCCAGTAATAAAATATTCTCTTCTATAGTAACTAGGGTTTGTCTTTTTTTTTTTTTTTTTTTTTTAAAGTCAGTGGACTAGATAAGTAAACCTGAGTTCTGAAATTATGCTCTTTGTGCTGATAGGCCATCACAACTCAATTTTTGAATGGTGAAATGTTGGAGGGTTTTTTATACCTTCTTTTAATGTAATAGAAAAAAACCCAAACAGTAAGAAATAACTGAACCTTGTAAAAAAAGTGATCTTATTTCCCATCCCATGAATTCACAGCCAGGAATAGTTAGTTACCTGTTACTTGCTTGTCTGGAAGAGATGGGATTGGAATGGCTAATCCAAATTTAACCAGGAGACGCTCATACAACCAGTCAAAGTGCTTGTATCTGTGGTTGACAGACCGATTAGTGTTCTGTAAGAGAAACACAACTCTGAATTTTGACAGGCATCTACAGATAGTGACTTGAAACAAGTGTGACCAGAACAGCAAGTACGTGGAATGTAAACTTAAAAAGTATGGTTTAGAACCTTGAATCTGTAATTACAGAACTTGAAATGACTACAGCAAAGTAACTCCTTGAGAGTGGGGGCAGGGGAAGAAAGTGCCAACTGCCACTTACTCTTACAACCCTGTTTCCAAGTCACACAAACTGCATTACTTATATGTACAAATTACCCATATTAGTGAGAGAGAAGGTTGTGTGTGTCAGATACACTTACAGTACAGGTCAGCTGATATTCAATGTAGCTCTTGAGACCATACATTTTAGAGCCTTTTTTGGGATCTGCCACCACACAGTCAAATGTAGAGGTAGGATAAACCCACATTGGGCCATAATCACCAATCTGTAAGAAATTGCAAATATTATCTTTAAATACATCATGTTGTGCTAGCTGCAAACAAGGAGACAAATACTTTCTCTCTTCACTTGAAAGTTTCCACTGATTTCAGCGAGAGCTTGATAATCAGGAAGAGAGGGATTTCTTGCAACCAGAAATGATAAACACAACTGTGGTCAATTGTATTCTGTATTTTACATTTTTTCCCAAAAAGTAAAGGAATGGTAAATTCTAGGGATTGCTACTTCAATCACATTTTACTAGAACAGTATATATCTAGAAGAGTTCATTTCTTTAGATGACCTGACCATCATGGCTGAATATTGCAAACCTTTATGATTGTAGCTCCTATATATAACTACCAAGATAACTAACAGAGAGCATAACGGATTTGCACTGCCACTCAATCCCAAAAAGGCTTATTTTTCATGATCACAGTTAATGCAGATCCAGCATGAGAGGAAAAAAAACCAACCACAACAAAACCACCCCAAAATAAACCAAAACAAAACCCACGGGGGGGGGGAACAAAAAAAAACCCCCGGGGGGGGGGGGGGAATCGAAATCAGCACACTTGAAAGAAAGGAGGAGTTAAGACCTGACCCTGAAAAGTCCCTCAATGTTATGACTCAATGTAGTCTACCACAACATTAAAATACTGAAATAGTACACAGTTTTATTATGACAGTTTTACTTCTAATTATATGTTCAGTATCATTTTCTTCTGACCCCAATACTTACAGCAACCCTGACACTGAAGTTAAATTGTGGAAAAAAGGAAGGGTGGAGAAGATTAAAAAAGAAAACAAAAAACTCCAACCCCAATACAAACCACACCACCCCCACACAAAAACTACCCACACATCCCCAACTTACAATAATGGGAATTTTCTCTTTGGGTTTTGCTAGCTGCTTTGCCAACAGATACTGTTCCATCCCAGGTTTTGCAAATCCAGGAAATCTAACAATAAAACAAAGTGGTAAGTTTATTCTGTATTTTCCTTCCTCTTACATATGCAGAACTACCTGCTACTATAGGAAAAAACCCTTAGGATTTCTCAAGTTCAGAAACTAATTGATGTGGATTACTTAAACAACCAACATTTGACCTGAAAGAGCAGGAAAGTTCTAGCTACTGACCTCTGGCTTTTATCTGTGTAATACAGGTCCCTTCTTTCAGGGCAAAGTACCTATTTGGGCTCTGCAGCCCATCAAAGCAAACGTTAACAGGAGGACACAAAGCAACATCTGCCACTCCACTGCAGCCCACCCTCTCTGGAAATGCACATGCACACACACCATCCTGCCCTTTTGGATGACGAGAATTCATCTGAATGAATGACAAAACTGCAGACTTATCAAGTGCTTCTAAATAGGAGTTATGTTAAATAATTTACCCACCAATCAGAAAGGAACTCACACAAAAATCACTGTAATGTCCTTCAAGTCTGTGTAAAATTTTACAAAAAGCAAATGGTGGTTCTCTTTCTAATGAGGATGATATTTAGCCCTTCGAGTACTGTCAATCTACCACCTGCTTGCAGAAACACAAGTAGGACTTACATCACAGACAAACACCACTCTTAAATAAGGTATGTTTATGCTGGTTATACTAAATAGGTTTGCGACAAGTGGATGCCACATGATGCAAAGGTACTGTTGCAAAACTGGATAAAACCTCCCCTGATGAACAAAATCAACTGGCCCTGCATGACTCATTGTTGACTTTAGTTACCTGCCTGAAGAAACCATTATTCTACAACCCTTTTCTGCTTTGCTTTCACTGCTTAAAGATTGCCCACAGCAGCTTCTCAGAGTAAGCGTAGTTTTAGAATAAAACATTAAGTTTTAAGGAGATAATGGTACTATAACCCTGACAAAGCTTCATACTACTGTTTTTTATCCAAAAAGCAAGCTTTCTGTGGCCCAAGAATCAACCTGGGTGATGCACAGACACAGGAGAGAGCAGAACTTTACCCCCCTCCTAGCAACTCAAATTGCTCACAGACTCTGGGACAGCATGTCTGATCAGTCTCGCTGTATGGACAAGCTGTCCATCACCTTTCGTTTTCACTAAACACATAGAGTTAAGACAGTTAAATTTTAAAGACTAGTAAGTTCACAAGTTTACACCTTGCAAAAGTGTCATTTGCCTGTATAACACCTCCAAAAATTACACAGCTTTGTCACATTATTTCAGGCTTTCATGATCTATGTTCTCTGATCACACAGGGAGAATGCTGAGCTACAAATCCATCTCCACTTTTACCTTAAAACTGTAATATTTACATTGCATATTTCGAGAAGATTGAATGCATATTTCGAGAAGATTGAATGCATATTTCGAGAAGATTGAACAGTCACACATTTACACATCTTGAAAAATTAAAATTCTCTTCATTATGTATATTTGCCCCGCATTTTCCATTACTTGTTAAGTGGTAACTTCATAGCAGCTGCACGAGAATTTCCACGCTGGACCCCCCCAGCCTCTGATGCCTCAGTCTCCTTGTAACCAAGGTAAGACGGTGAAGTTGATTTTGGGTCATCCCAGTCATCATCCCAATCATCTTCATCAGCAGCTGCTGAAGTACAGGAGGGGACAGCGGGGTACAGAAAGAAGAAAGTTAAATATTCTCCTCTTTATAGGCAGAAACAGCTACCTCAGCACTCATACATAAATAATCAACAAGGTAATATATTAAGAGCTAATTCAGCATTTATTTTATGATTTCTCCTCAATTACCACCATCCTCACCAAATACAACCTGCAAAACGCTACACTAGAAATCCACTGGGAGGGGAAGTAGGAAGAAAAAAAAAAACCAAACCAGATGAGATGCTGGTGTGTTAAGATGAATTCGATAGTGTTCCATACTCAGACTCCCCGTTAGCATTCCCCAGTTCTGAGTTCTCTTAATTTAGGCCTTTACTACAAAAAGATAGCCTTCTCAATGGCTAGACATCTCCTAAAATTAAGGACTTAGGAGACTATTTTCCCACAGGCGTGAGGGTACAAAATCAAAAGGTGTTGAAGTTCCAGTTACACAAGCTGTACAACATACCTGAGAACAGACCCTGTATGCATGACTTTGGCTTGTCACATTTCCATACAAGTTTGAGGTGCCTGTTACTGTGGATCTGATTTTTTTTAATATAATTCATAAATAACTATTATTTTAGTGTCCAGTTTACCCATGTGGCAATGTGCTATTATGAAGACGGGTTTGTTTTTTAAATAAGCCATGTTCTGTATTGATGAAAGCTTAAGTAATTCTTACTTCTACTGCCCACCTCCTCTAATGTATCAAAAAAAAAAAGAACATTATTAGCACACCTGGTCCTTGATATGCCTGTGGATGACCAAATGCTGCTGCTGTGTCCCAGTTATTTGAAGCACTGTTTCTCTGGCCAGCTGCACTTTCAGGTTTTGTTGCCCAGCTGTCAACAGCATTTCCACTATCCCAGTTCCCAGACTTCCCAATATTCCAGCTGGACCAAGGATCACCAGAATTGTTTGCCTATATCATGTAAAAACAAAAATAAAGAAGAAATTGTTGAAGAAACAGTAATGACCATGTAACTTTCTTCTTGAATTCTTTGATGTCCTGCTGACAGGCTATGAGTTTGAATTCAGCACTGCACTTGTTCAACTTCAGAGCAGCTGCCAAATCTTACCTTCCCAGCTACACAGCTCTGAAATGCAGTAAGCACCTGGAAGAACCCATCAGCTTTCCAGCAATGTGACACCAATACATACTAATAAGGGTGTTACCGCGCCTCAGGGAAATTAAACTATTTGGTCCAACAGTGTTAGGAAGCACTCTTCCCCACAGTAATTATTTTACACCAACACCCTAAGTATGGTGCACGTGAACTATTAATTACATAAAGCCACGGACTAATTAGCACATTTAAAACAGAAACTCAGAGTCAAGGATTAGTTTCTTTCAAATGCTTACTTTATCAAACTCAGATTAGTAGCTTTACTAAAAGCAAATCATAAATTGCCCACCCACACCATCACTACTGGTGTGACAGTTAGGGAGTTAAGCCTAACTTGTTCAGCTTCCCTGTCACAAGGCAAGGGAAGGAAACAAACATCTGCCAGGGAACAGTCTGGCATTTCCCTGTAGACCTACTCTCAGCATAAGCTCCTGGTGAAGGTAATCACACATACCCCTTGTGATGATGCTGCTGTGGAGGTGGAAACCTCAGTGAGAGTGCAGAGCAGACATGTCTCAAACTACTCATCAATTTGTCAAGTTCATCTGTCAGTAAGTTGGATTAACAGCTTAGCAACCTGCTCAGCTCCTTGATTTTAACAGTACACTTTGAAAAAGCACTGACTAGTTAAGTGCAGTCTACTCCAGCCAGTGCAAAGACTAGCAGGCAGAAAGAAAAAAAGCCCCACACAAATCAAAACACACACACACAAGTATAGGAGGAATGAGGAGAAAAAGGGGAAGGAAAGCAAACAAAGCCTACAAAGCTTGCCTTGTTCAGCAGAGGGAGAACCTGAGTTTTGTAGAAGTCTCAAAGCCTACAGAAGCCAGATCTCTTTTTTTTTTTAATCATGAAGCAGCATATCAAAGGGATGTCTAAGAGAAATTGATTTCTATTAGACTGTAACATTTACATGACCCTTAGAACATTTGCCAGTACAGAAAATTTAATAAAACACCCACTAAAAGCCAAATTATTTTCTGCAAAAACACTGAATGTTTGTTTCTTACACAAATACGTTAAAAAGGTACCTGCTACTCCACACTCCATTCTTCTTCACTAAAATTCACTCCTCTCATTTCAACTTTGAGATACTACTTAGGAATAAGCGTTCTCACTTCAGTTTTTCCTAAAGTACAGTTGTCTGACAGTCAGATTTCACAGATAATATCAAACTTTCAAGAATAAAATGCTGTTGATAAGCGTATAACACCTGTTATTTAAGTAGAGAATCCCCAGGATCTGGAAATTAAGACCAAGCCCCCAAGATGGGGGGAGGAGGGGAAATCACCATTTGAAAGACCCATGAGACTCAGCAGGTGTCTAGTAGGAGAGATTATGCAGACAACTTCTGTAATGATAATTTGGGGGACTTTTTGGGGGATGCAAGAACACTACTCCCTAAGGGAGCAGTACCACTGAGGTCTACTTAATTCTTGGATAGTTGATATACAGTGTTACTCTCAGCAGTTACAAACAAGTTGCTGGCAGCTTGTACCAGCCTGCTTTTCCTATGATGTTCACCTGATACGAGTTTATGTAAAGAGGAAAAATAAACCTACATGCCATCAGTCAGAGTTTTTCATCTTTGCTAAAGGCAAACACACACGCTGGGGCCCAACTACAAGAGAAACTGTGTCTGTTCCTAACATAGAGCACCAAGAAAAGAATAGTTTGCATAATGTTAATTTGCATATACTTCTGCAATATATATGTTGTGCTGATCAGTGGCAAATGAAAGCCCAGAAGTGGGATGATTGCCAAAAGGCTGAGTAAAGTTTTCCTCTTCTCTGCAGTTCATGTGAAATCCGGTACATAAGTGGGTGGCAAAGAAACCTTAAAATCTGCTTCAAAACAAGGGGTAGGCAATAACATTAACACTGGGTACACTACTAAAGAATGATTGTCAAGAGCGATCATCACCAAACTTGAAAACAGTTGCTGATACACAATGCTGCAAGGGGAAAAGGATTACTTAAACTGCCCTCTCATCTGTCTCATCTCTGTGTACCTATATGAAAGCACTATTCAAATCACAAAATTTAACTTCTGTGGTGTCCAAGAAAGCTCTGGCGTAAGCTCTTGCCCCCAGGTATATCGCTCACAGGCTATAAAAAGGGGTGGGATATGCTAGTCCCACTCAGCTCCATTCAGCCCATGGTTCAGCTCCATTCAGCCCATTCAGGTCGACATGTCTTTCTAAGGCACTGGGGAAGAAGGTAAGAGATGGGTTAGGAGTGTACATAGAAAACACCTCTCAAAGAACATTTACTGGTCACCTTTCATCTCTCTAAAATGTTTGCTTACATACACACACACAGTGGACACTATTAAGCAGTAGCCAAAAATGAGTAAATGTGGAGAAGGGTGCAGGAATCCAGCCTGCCATCCCCAAGGTCCCATAGCACTGTGGAGGGCCAAGTAAAGACACAACATTTATTAAAAGGCTAATCTCAGCTCTGGTCAGCAGTTTTGTGGATCCTGGCTGCTGACAAATTCTGTGAGAAACTATTTATGTGGCTTAGCTCTGGCTGAATAAACCCTAATTAAGCCACCAAGTATTTTGTAAGTGATTAAATTACATGTTCTCTCACCTTTGGTTTTCCATAACCAAAATTGACAATCCTCTGATCTGTCTTTAATCAGCACAAAAAAGATGAAGAGTCCTTGCAAGAAGCTGTTATTTAATCAATATACCATGATATAGCATACCTAACATCCAAGTATGTAAGCAACCTCAAATGCAAAACACACAACATGAAATGCCACACCATGCATAATTAAGAAACTAATCAACCTTTAAATGAAACATTGTATCTCTTTGCTCAGGGTATACAAAGATTATGTTCCTTAAAGGCAGCTGATCTTCCCTTTTGTAGACTTGCTCACCCCCACTGTTCAAGAAAAACCACCACAAAAAGGCTATCTGGGAATAGACAAGAGAGGGAACACATTACTAAATATTTTAAGTCTTCCATTAAGGGCAGATTCACACTCACTATCGAAAGAGATCACTACTGGTAGAGGGGCTGGGGGAAGTCTAGTATGTTTGTAAAGATCAAATTATAGCTGAATGAGAAAAAATTCTGCAACGGGAAAATCTCAGCTTGGGGGTGGAATGTCAGTATCTTTACCAAATGCATCATGAATTAAACAGGAAGAAGTGACACTTTACAATTTTCCAGAGAATGCAAAGTTACAGACAGTAAAGCTAAGATAAGTCACTGAGGCATTTCTCTGCACTGGCAAAAAAAAAAAAAAATTTTTTTTTTTTTTTGACCTCTTGGCCAACTAAGTTGTTCCTAGCAGACTCCTTTCTCATATTTCTGGATGCTCTTGCTGGACGAACAGATTCATTCTACTCCTGAAGGACAAAAGCCAAAACAAACACAGTGTTCAGATGCTAAAGCTAAGTTGAATACCTAAAAAGATCTAGCTACCTGCAATCAAAACTTATGGCCTCCAACTGTAAAAAAACCCCACACCTTGAAATCTACTGAGAGGCAGAAGCCATGCTGAAGCAGTGAGTAGAGAAAATAAGCCTGACCAGATAAAGGGAAGCCCAGGACTGCCAAAGCTGCAATGAGAAGTGTTATGCCCCTGAAGAGGGGTTGAGAAGAGACAGCACAGAGGAATGGCAGAAAAGACAAGAAAAGTCATGGTGGCTCAGCTGAATAGCTTGCAAGAACAAACACACCTCTGCAGTTTTATAGCTGTGGTAGTTACCTACATGGAGACAAAGCCTTAGGCATACTCAGAAATTACACTAAACTCACCTTCTCTGGATAACAGTACCTGAATAGGCACATTAAAAATGTGAATATAGACAGTCACCCTAAAAATTAAGCTTTTTTCCTCCAGGAAGAAATGTGAAGGGCTAAAATCCTCCTCTGCAGCAATCAATCACAGAACTGCATTCACTGTGCTGTATTTACCACAAGCAAGCATGCGCATGAGCAGATACTGACTTAACTGCCATGCCCATGATATTTTATGCCCCAGCTTTCTTCCTAGTAAATTGTGGTCCTGGATACTTTCACTCCTGAAGGAAGGCCCTCTTTTCTACTGTACCATTTAAGCATGTTTTTTCCTCAAAGAAATCCTCTAGGAAAAGCAAGAGTAGAGATGGGCTATACTTTGACCAGCCTTATGGACTCTCATATTAAAATGTTCCTGTGGATTTCCTGAATCCTGGGGAGCACAGGAAAGCAACAGTAGAGCAGACCTCCAGAAGCAGCTGGCAAGGACACAGCAGCAATGCTGCTCACAGAACCAATTTCTCCCTCGGTTGCTGATGTCATCTTGCTTCCTTCCAAAGAAAACCATTACTCAGCACCTCCACTTCCAACCCCACTGCCCCCTTTATAAACTAGTCCCTGAAAAGGAACTGGGCTTTGCCCACTCATGAACCACAAAATGCCAGGGCACACCCACTGGACACTCCTTGCTTCCAGCAGGAAAACACTCCAAACCACTGGTGGAAGAACTACCATGAAGAACAGAGCAGTTAGCTTTGTTCTTTCCCCACTTCCAATCCCATTTCCTTACCTATAAGGTTATTCACAGCCAAAGTGGACTAGAGGCTGCACTGCTCTGCACACTGCAGGCACAGGATTCCCACCTTCCGCGCTGCCAGCGCACACTGCTGGCTCATGTTCAGTTTTTCGTCTTCCAGTACCCCCAAATCCTTCTCCTCAAAGCTGCTCTCTATCCTCGTCTTCTCTTGAGCTGATTTCAATCCCTAATGATTTCTTCTTGAAACACAGATGAGAAATTTCAGACAGTTTTCCAAGCA